TTTAAAGTGGTATAGTCAACAGATTAAAGCTGCAATATTGCAACCYAATATGTTTTTGGGTTGTCCTTCTATCTTTTCTGAGTAATGTGTTCCAAAGTAATGTCTATATCTATGTCAAAACATACTGTTTAATTGCTTTATATTATGTTCTGATAATTAGTAAATCAAGTCTCATTTATTACTTTGTTAAAAAATTAACTTGCTAATCACTGCTGTTTTTTTCACATGTATTTGAGAACCAACTTGTCAATGTCTATAATGCTGAATCTTCCTATTTAAAAATATAGAACAGAATTTCATGTATACAGGTTTTTAAATACCCTTTCATGAAAATCTTGCATGTTTCCTATTTCTACATAAAAATATATTTTGTTGCTATTATGAATTATAATATCCTTTTATTTTGTTTTGTAGTTCATCATTGCTAAAGTTAAAAAAAACCTGTTGGTTTTGTATATTGATTTTTGAATCYGATTACCTTATAATGTTAAGATATATTCTTAAATTTGGTAGGAGACCTTCAATGATACACAAAATTATAAGAGGTTATGAGGGGCAAGGGGGAGGGGGGGAAAAAGGGAGAGAATTGAACAACAGCAGAGGAGGCAGAGAGGGAAGATGGGAGGGGAGGGGAGGGGGGATAGTAGGGGATAGGAAAGGTAGCAGAACACAACAGTCACTAATATGCCATTATGTAAAAATGTGAGTATGTAACAGATGTGATTCTGCAATCTGTATTTGGGGTAGAAATGGGAGTTCAAAACCCAATTGAGTCAAATGTATGAAAGATGATTTATCATGAGCTCTGTAATGTTTTGAACAATCAATAAAAAAAACCCGCATCACTTAAAAGATAGCTGCATTAAGTGAAAAGCAATCTAAAAGATTAACACTCTAAGAAACTCAACACTATCATCAGTCATAGTCCATTTGGTTAGTGAATTAAATTAGTATTTATTTCATACTTTAGTATAAAGCTTAAACATTAAGAGTTTGAATGGAAAATGGCCCGTGTTCCAAAAAATCATGGGAAACTTTATATATAAAACCTGGCTAACATTTAATTTAAGGGGATTAATAAGAGCTATCAAATAATTTTTCAAATAACTTCATCAAATCCAACAATATCATCTTTAGGAAAAACAACAAAAACAAAAAACCCCACCATACCAGAATAGTTGTTATATGACTGTTACATTTATGGGAATAAATAAAAGAAGAGCAGGAAAAAAAATGGATCAAGAAGAGCTTCATTTTATTATATATTTAGCAATATGTTGTACTTAGGTACCATGCCCATACTATTTGTCCCATTTAGTCAAGTCCAAGAGCTTTAATTTAAAAATAAAAGAGACATCTTCCTAAATGGAAGCCAGTGACTTGCACACTTCAGGTGTGATCCGAGAATATGAAGCTAAAAGCAAAGTAATTTAGTTTACATTTCATGTAGATAGTTTKGGACAGATATTTTGAATGTATAGGTCTAGGTCTATCCACTTTCAAAACATGTTGAATGACATTCAGACTACACACAGCAATATTTACAATGTAGGAAAAGAAACTATATGTACATGCTAAATAATTTACGTGGATATAAATAATAACTGGATATAGTTTAACTTAGTACTAATTAATGCATTCAAGAAATATTTACTAAGGATCCAGGATATGACAGGTAATGTCCCAGATGCTGAGGTTCTGGAATAAACTAAATAAAATCCATATCATCATGGAGATTTCATTTTATTCTAGCATGCTAGTTACTTTAAAGTTAACTTCTAGAAGGAATTCAATTTTGAAATAGTTCTAAAGTAAAGAACACATAAAACTAGTTAAAAGTTCACTTTTGGACTAGGACATTTCTCCCCTATTCTATGTTTAACACTTTAAGAGCATTTTCTACTAGCTTCTAATTACAGGAGACTGTATGAGATGTATTTAGATGAGGTAAAAAGCTTTCTCCATTCCCAAAGAAGGTCTAATGTCACTGGCATTTCTATAATCTGTGTATTATTAAATACTAAGAGAACTAATCATTAAAAAGGAGAAACATAATATATAGTAGTTCATATTAAAGAAAAATAATAATTCAAATAAAACATATTCTAATCCTAGGCTACTAAACATCAGAGAATGGAAAGTTCTCTCTCTTTCTCTTTTTTTCTTTTGCATAATCCTGGGGATCAAACCCAGTGCCTAGCACATACCAGCAAGCCCTCTTCCACTGAACTACATTTATCAGCCCATTTTTTTCCACTTAATATTTTTTTAAATGAGATGCTTTTCACATAGAACAGCTTYCATATCATTAATTTCTTCTTGAAAGGTACAGATATTTCTTCAAATATTCATAACACAGAACTAAAAGATATGCTATTTAATTTCACTAAGCTTCATTGTCCCTACCTGTTAACATGATAGTAAGAGTACCTATGTCTTATTATTGTTTTGGAATTGAATGAGGTAAGGCATATAAAAGGCTAAGCACTCAATCATAATTGATAATATCAATTATCACTGTTATTCCAGGTATTAATAGTCTCAAATACAGTTTATATTTATCATTAGCACCATCCCAAGTTGGAAAACTCAATAAACGCTGGGTGTGGTGGCTCRTGCCTATAATCCCAGTGGCTGGGGAGGCTGAGATAGCAGGACTGCAAATTCAAAGTCAGCCTCAGCAACTTAGTGAAGCCTTAAGCAACYGTCTCTACATAAAATTTTTTTTAAAGGGCTAGAGATGTGGCTCAGTGGTTAAGTGAATCTGGGTTCAGTCCCTGGTACCCCCCCCCCAAAAAAAAAAAACCCAAAAAACTAACTCAATAAACAAACTTCAATAGGATAGTCAAAAAATATATGGTTTGCAAGACAGGATATATGGTTTGCAAGAGAGGATTAATATGGGATGTACCTCAATCTAAACAATGGATTTTCAAGAATCAGTAATAAAATGCTACCAATATCCAGAATTTCTACTAAAAATGACTGAATCTGGGAAAATTTCAAAAAACCAAAGTTTCATTAACAAGATGCTTCATCAATATTTATCGCAATTCCAAAGACCTAGAAGTATTTTCTGTCTTTAAAAACATATTTCTTGCCTTTTATTTCAAAGTAAACTTAAGAGTAGAATTCAAAATACAAACAACAAACCAGTAAATGGAGATAAGACCATTAAAAATTAAGATTTTATTTAAAAGATAGTATCTCTAGCTCCAATCTGGACAAACCATATTGGACTCTCAAATGATTCTATTTGGTGGCGGCGGAGGGTGGGGTGAGGGAGTGGGAGGACAACAAAAACTCAAGTAAAAGGCTGGGGATGTGACCCAGTGGTAGAGTGCTTCCCATAAATAAACAGACAGAACCCCCAGTAAACAGAAAAACTTACATTTTAACTTAATCTGAAAAGTGATGATGGACTACAAATGAAGGAATTAACAAATTTAAGACCTGAAGTAAAGCAAAAACACTAATAAGAATCTTCAATTTAAAAACTCTGCAATTTTTCAAAGGATCTTGAAGAAAACCCAAATGGAGAGGTCACTAAATATCCAAGAACACTCACCCAACCATTGGTAGAAGACCTCTTGGAGACCCAGATGCTTGAATCAGCTGAAATAGTACCAAGTTTTTACTGATTACTCTTAATAGGGCAATGGAGCACAGGCTAACTCCATATTATCAAAAATTAAAGGTTATTTTTATTAATTCCAGTTACTACCATTACAAAAAACTCCAAGGAAAAGGACAATGAGTAATAAATTCCAAGGTTAATAAAATTTATGTGTGCATATGTGCAAATGTGTATATTCCCTCCAGTTCTCTTAGTGCTGTAAGTCTGATTACTAAGTCTCATAAGTACATTGGCAGAAAAAAAATTTTCTAAATTAATATTATAAAATTCTTAAAGAATTTAAGAATGTAAAGTATTTTTAACATTGGTTCAGATAGAAAATTTTGAAAAAAGAATCTGCTTTTTTTTAATGATAATGCAAATTCCTCCACACTTAAGCACTTCAGTAACACAGARAAAAGGTTTTAAACCAATGCAATTCTTTAGGCCTTTGAGTTACACTAAAGATTGTTCTAATCAGAGGAATCTCATATTTCAACACATAAAGGAACTCAATAACACTATAAAAGACCCTCAAAGTTGAAGACTATTTTCAACATTATTGATTAAAACATGAAAGTTATCAATTAATAGAAAATATCTAATGGTATCTAATTTTAACAAGAAATTAAAAAGAATCAACACTCCAGGTTGAGAAGATAGTTATGTATTTATCTCTAGAAGCTGAGGGACAGGATTAATCACACCCACCAAAAAAACACCATAACTTTATTCCAAAGTTCTATACATTAAGATTTAAAACAAAATTTAAAAAACATTCTTCTACTAAGGGAATKGCCAAGAACAAAAACTGGAAGATTCTAATTTTCCCAAGTAACTAAAATATAAAAACTACTTACTGCTCGACATATGCGGGACAAGTAATGAACAACTAAAGAATACTCATTTTGTATGAACAGTTTAAACAAACAAGTAAAAAAGAATATATTTTTAACGTCAAGTAAGCATATTCAAGTTAAATAAATACTGAAATAGGATGCCAGCAAATACACTCCAACCTAGCTGTTAAATGACTGAACTGTTACATATTAGGGATAAGCTTGCTATATAATATATGTATAATTTATTGAACATCCAAACTAAGGAAAACCAAAAGCATAAAAAAAGTGTTTTTAAAAGGTTTCTCTAACAGAGAAGAATGTATGATAAAGTCAGGAAGAGATGTGAGAATACCAGAAAGAAATGCTTAATATAAGATTAGCACTAAGAAAGATTAAGAATACTATTATCCTTAAAAATATAAAGAAAAAGGGTAAAGAAATGATTTAGAGAACAGCAATTGACATAAAAAATGACTGTGAGAAGAATTCAAACATTTTAGAATTCTATTGCAAATTTAAATGACAAAATATACCAATATTACCTTTCTTTCGAAAGAGTGCATTTAGGTAATTTTCTGCTTGGCATTCAATCTTATCAGTGTTGGACTGGCCCTGAGATGATAGCTCCTCCGTTGGTGTTGACTGTGAAGAATCAAGAGATGGTATACAATCCTAAGATTACAAGAAAAACAACATACTAAATTACTTTTATTAAAACATTGAGTTCCATTAAAAATGGCAAAAAATTTCTCTAAATGTTAATTTGTTCTAATTTATGCATATTAACTTATATWAAAAAAACATAAAAAATTCAGGTCACGAGTTAGGAAAAAGGAAATTTATCTGATAGAGGGCCCAAACAGCTATTCCTTAGCAAAACTAAATAAAAAAAAAAARAGAGAGAGAGCAGACAAAATAGAAAATGTTACTAAATAAATTAACTATATGGCATACCAGCAAACTAATCCAAAGAGGTGTTTTTTTTTTCTTTCTATTTAAAACAACACAGCAGATATGTTTACCCACTAATCTGAACAAAGTCAGTACAAATTTTCTTCTGAGTCCTTCTCATAAAAATAGATAGGAGTCATGATTTCTACCATCCAAGAAGTAGTAGATTGTATGGTTTATGTTCTGGATATAGCAGACACTGACATATTTCAACATTTACCCAGGAAATATTTATGACAGCCAAAAGACTTCAGAAGTGAGTGAAAGGCTAAAAGATAGTAGCAGCATATCATCCCCTAACTATTAATTCCTAAAAAAATTATCCTGTAGGGTGACTGTAGGGTGGCCTCAGATCCAACTAGGCTTTCATGCTTATTCTTCTATACCTAACTAACAAAATGACCTGAAGTGAATTTCATGGGTCAGAGAATAATAAGGGAAAAAATGTGAAATAAGTCAAAGATAAATTTTCTAGGATTTTTCACCTGCAAAGCTAAACTAAATATTGGACTTTCAACATAAGACTTTAAAATATTCTTTTCATTTAGCAAAATTGTTTTATAACTTTTATCATGTAACAATTTTTCAGAAGAAATTAAGTTAAAAGAAAAAGAAGCATGTTATAATTGTGCAATTAATTTACAAATAATTTATGGCACTATAACTTACACTGACTGCTTCTCTCTGTAGGTTACAAAATGAGCATTTTTCATCCATAGACCAGTCAGTCAGCTCTTCTGGTTCACAGTCTTTAAAAGAGGAAAAATATTCATTAAAATACATTAACCTTATTAAAATCAAGAAAATTACCACTCTCCACAGCAATGGCAAGAAAAAAAGACAAGAAAAATTTTAAAATAAACAAGAAACATAAAAACCTAACTAGTAATATTTAAGGGAGAAGGCCTAACTTCAAAATTGAACTATGATATCTAGAAAGAAATAATCAGAGGCCAGAAAGAGAATAATTTTACACTCTATTTTTTTAATATTTATTTTTTAGTTGTAGTTGTACACAATACCTTTATTTTATTTATTCATCTTTTTGCTAAGGTTCGAACCCAAAGGCCTTGCATGTGCTAGGAAAGTGCTTTACCAGGAATCACAACCCCAGCCCTAATTTTACACTCTTTAAAAACAAAATAGCAAGAACAGTGAGTTGTGTCATAAATTAACAAATTTCCTACAATAAGGTTTTTTTGGGGGGATGGGTACCAGGGAGTCAACCCAGGAGCACCACTGAGCCACATCCCCAGCCTTTCTTTATATTTTAATTACAAACAAAGTCTCACTGAGTTGCTAAGTGCCTCCATAATTTGCTGAGGCTAGCTTTGAACTTCTGATCTTCCTGCCTTAGCCTCCCAAGTTGCTGAGATTACAGAGGTGAGCCACCATGCTGGCTCATACAATAGGGTTTTCAGTATCACGGAACATTTTCAAAGACTCAATTTTTCACTGTTCATTAATTTTAACTTTTATTGGGCTGGGGTTGTGGCTCAGCAGTAGAGTGCTTGCCTAGCACATTCAAGGCCCTGGGTTCGATCCTCAGCACCACATGAAAATAAAGAAAATAAAAGTATTGTGTACAACTATTTAATTTTTTTTTTTTACTTTTATTTTCCCTAAGAAAGAAACCAGAACAAAAATGGAGACATGGGGAAGAAAGGAATAGATTTTGTGCAACATACAATAGAGAAATAGAAGAAAGTCAAAGTTTACAGATTTGAGACAATGAAATGATGCCTAAAAAAACAAGTACCAAGCCACAGCTCAAAAATCACATCAGATATCTGTGATATTTTTGAAGACTTTATTATAAGATAGTAAAAAAATCAGTTAAACAAATAAGGCATATTATTCAATACAAAATGTGTTTTTTTTTTTTCAGAAGGCTACTCCTTATAATCCAATGGTTGAACCGCTGGTTGAAATATATTAAAAGTTTATGAAAAACAAAGATATTTTCTACTCAAGAAATTTGATGAAAGTATAATACCACTCTAACTATATTTAGTAGAGACACTGATTTTCAAAATTAACCTTGTAGTAGACTAGCCCTCCTTTTTTTCCCCCAAATAAATTCAACACAATTTTTATTGTCTGAGGCAGTTACATGGCAACTAATCTGAAAAACCTTGATATGCTACAGAAATTTCTCATTGTTTTGAATACACTATGATACTGAATAAAGTATAGAGAAATAGATTACTTTTTTGAGAATGATAATGAATAAATACTAGTAAAAATCAGCCCCTATGACCCTGTCCCCAACACCAATCCAAATACAGAAATAGAAGATAATAGGTTGGAAGTAGTATAGAGTAGTCATCTCTCCCTTTGATTTCCACAGTGGCCAACAAATAGTAATATTTACATAAATGTGGAAAGGGTAGGAAATGGTTATGACCCAGGATAATGTAATAAAAAAAGATAGCTAGATTTGAAGTCTCTGAAAATCTGGGATGAAAACACTTTTGTAAATAGTTGTGACCTTTTTAAACCACAAAAGTATTTTGTTTTAATTGCCTTGTGTGTAAAATGAGAAAATGTGTAAAATCACCTCATTTGTAAATCAATTGAAGAAAAGTATGAAAATGTTATCAAGTATAAAACATCACACAAAGGCTAGTCTTTAACGACTTTAAGACAATTGTCAATTGAAGGAAAAAACATGCAGAGAATACATCATTTATTTTTAGTTTTTTTTTTTTTTAAATAGGACTACTTCAAGGTAACACTAATTAAAACAAATACCTACACAGTTAAATAAAGTGGCACTGAATAATCAATTGACTAAATAAAAGCCATTAAAATTTGCAAAATTCAAAAATTTACAGGATTACTTACAAATATTTAATAATTACTCTTTGATAGTAATTTTTTATTTTCAGCCCAAATAAATGGTGATGAGATACATTTTTTTTCTATATGGGAAAGTAGATGTGAAAAATCAACTATAGACCAGATTGTTCCTCTCCTAAGACTATCTTCTCATGTCATTAAAAATAAAATACATATTAATTATATCTCAGAGACTGAYAGTAAATCAGATATTTCTAATATAAGTTAACTTCCATTTTGAAATGTTAATACACGTAGGCATAAGCTCAAAAGATATTAAACAATGTACTTTATAAAAAAGGAATGACTGTAAATGACTGACAAAGATCAATCTTTCCATCTTTCCTTGTAACTGGGTATGCCTCAAATCAATTAATAGTCCATCTCCAATCATATTATCTAATCTACAGAAAGTTAACAGACTAAAATGAGAGAAACTTGGTACTGAAACAAGAGCTTTTCTACATGTTAGATATGACCTCAGACAAGTAAAACTTATATATATTTGCAAAATGAGAATAATATTACAGCTGTAATAAATATTAAAACACCTAAGTCCAAAATATGTTACTTTCATTTTCTTCTAAACAATCTTACTTTTTAAAAATTTGAAATTCTTTTCATTACTATTCATTCATAGGATATAAATTTAGACTTCCCAAGGGGAAAGTCCAATTAAAAGTCACAGGAGGTGGGGGATGTGAGCTAGACTTTTCATGAATATTATCAAACACTGGGGGTAAATATGATTTTATGGAAAAGGCTAAACAGTGGATAGCACTATTAAAAATAATTTTTCATTATGAAACAAGATACTATATTGAAAAGTACAAAAGAAAAAAGAAAAATTACAATACCATCATGCAGAAATAATTGACATTTACTATATTTCCACTCAGTTTATATTCTAGGCTTTTTAAAAAATTAGGATCACCTGGTTCTTTGAAAAGAAATTGATAACTCTCTAGCTAGATATATTAGGGAAAAACTCAAATTTTTAATATCAGAATAAAATGAACCATCACTACTGATTCTGCAGATTTAAAATAAAGAAAAATTGTGAATAATTCATAAAATCTCTTACAAATTTAATAATTTTTAGGTGAAATGGCCTAATTCCTCAACAGGTATAAGTTACCAAAAGTATAAACAGAAAAACTCAAAAGACCCTCATCTATTAAAGTAATTAAGTCAATAATTAAATACTTTCTAAACCAGAAGCACCAGCTCAGATGTTTCCCTATAATCTCTTCCATAAAACAAAAAGCAGAGGAATTATTATCTTACTTTTCTATGATTCCATCATTACCTGTGGAAAATTCCATCATTACATCTCACCCAAGAAGATATACAGATGGCAAATATGTATGTAGAAAAAAAAACTTAATACTAAAGAGATCAATAGGGCGTTATAAAATAAGACAACAACATACTACTACATCCCTATTATACAGGTTAAGTTAAAATTCAAATCAATGACAATGTCAAATGCTAGTGGAGATGTGGAACAATAGCAAACTTCATTCACTGCTGGTGGGAATTTAAATGACACAGCTGTTTTTCAAGATACTCTGGCAGTTTCTAACAAACCTAAACATGGTCACTCTACAATCTTACAATGATGCTCCTAGGAATTTACCAAAAATGAGTTAAAAATTTTTGTCTCTCATAAAATACTTGTTGCCTGTATTCTTCATAATTGCCATCTGACTAYAGTGAGATGAAATCTTAGTTTTGATTTGCATTTCTCTAATTGCTAGAGATGTTGAATACTTTTCATATATTTGTTGATCAATTGTATTTCTTCTTCTGTGAAGTGTCTGTTCAGTTCCTTAGTCCATTTATTGATTGGGTTATTTGATTTTTTGGTTTTAAGTTTTTTGAGTTCTTTATATAGCCTAGAGATTAATGCTTTATCGGAGGTACATGTGGTAAAGATTTTCTCCCAATCTGTAGGCTCTCTCTTCACATTATTGTTTCCTCTGGTAAGAACAAGCTTTTTAGTTGGGATTCATCCCATTTATTAATTCTTGATTCTACTTCTTGTGTTTTAGGAGTCTTGTTAAGGAAGTCAGATCCTAGGCCAACAAGGTGAAGAGTTGGGCCTCTTTTTTCTTCTATTAGGAGCAGAGTCTCTGTTCTAGTGCTTAAGTCTTTGATCCACTTTGAGTTGATTTTTGTGCAGGGTGAGAGACCGAGATTTAATTTCATTTTGCTACATATGAATTTCCAGTTTTACCAGTACCATTTGTTGAATAGGCTATCTTTTCTCCAGTGAATGTTTTTAGCACCCTTGTCTGGTATGAGGTAACCATATTTATGTGGGTTTTTCTCTGTATCCTCTGTTCTGTACCATTGGTCGACAAGTCTATTTTGGTGCCAATATCATGCCATTTTTGTTACTATACCTCTGCAAATTGGTGAAAGCACTATGGAAAGCAGTATGGAGATTCCTCAGAAAACTGGGAATGGAACCACCATTTAACCCAGTTATGCCAAAGGACTTAAAATCAGCGTACAATAGTGATGCAGCCATGTCAATTTTTATTTCAGCTCAATTCACAGTAGCTAAACTATGGAACCAACCTAGGTGTTCCTCAATAGATAAATGGATAAAGAAAATGTGGTATATATACTCAATGGAATATTATTCAGCTTTAAAGAACAGTAAAATTATGGCATTTGCCAGTAAATGGCTGGAGTTGGGAAATATCATGCTAAGGGAAATAAGCCAATCCCACAAAACCAAAGGCTGAATGTTTTCTCTACTATGCAGATACTAATTCACAATAAGGCAGGGGCAGGCACTAGGGAAGAACAGTGTTACCTTAGATTAGGTAGAGAGAAGTGATGGGAAGAAAGTAGAATGAAACAGACATTATTACTATATGTATATATGTGACGACAT